ATCTATCTATCTATCTATCTATCTATCTATCTATCTATCTATCTATCTATCATCTATCTATCTATCTATCTATCTATCATATCCCCCCCTCTCTCCATCTATCTATCATGTATGTATATATATCCAGCTATAGCTCAACTGTTAACTCTGCGTGACAGAGTGAGGTCCCATTACTTGCTTCTGGTTCAAAAGCATTCAAATTTGAATAGATTAATTAGGTACCAGTTCAGTGGAAGGTAACTGTTGTGTCTGGAAGGATGGGTCCAAGAACGGAGACAGGCTCAGAAAGTAACTACAGCTCTTTATTAGTGACTTCAGATCTGAGCCAAATGCCCTAGCCGCAGCAGCCCCTTTTATAGAGCTGGCTGCGGCTATACGGCCAATGACAGAGGTTTAAGCTTGCTGCGCTTGGTTAGCCCAATCGTGGCAGCCCGTTTACCAGCCAATCGGATCAGTCCGGAGTGACCAATCACGACCCGCTGTTAGCGGACCAATCCGCTTTGCAGGCTTTCAAGCCTGCTAGTCCGGAACAGTAACAGTGTTCCATGTAGTCATGCTGGCTACATGACTACAGAAATGTCTTCAGACAATGATGGCTCCCTCAGCTAAGAAACAGATTTTAGCACTTTCCCCTAGAGTTGAACACGACTACACAGGGGAAATCTGTTACCTTTATACATAACTTTAAATATATCCAATAATTTTCTGAAGGTAGCCAAGGGTTACAAGTTCGCTTATTTTGAGTTTCTAATATCTTCTACCTTTCTTTCAGTCTCTCTGTGCATATGTGAATGGAAAAGAGTTGTAGTATTCACTGTGACTGTTCCCAGAAGCATCTGTAGTAAACTGCAGTAACAGCAAAATGACCACATATGCAGTGTCACCACAAGGACACACAATGCCTTAATTACATACTTGCATTCCAATGCCTGATATATGTGCACAAATTGCAATATTGCATGATGTTGTCACATATTACCATAATTTCACCCCACCCACCACTTCTCATGTTTGCCCATGACTTTCCAGGTAAAGACGCTCTAGAGTTAAGTGTGATTGCTGTGGACTTCAAAGAAAAATCTATGCAGTTTTCTTGGCAACAATATGGCTTGCCATTGTCTATGCTCTGGGATTATCTGTTAGGTAGAAGATCTGACTCAACCCTGCTTGGCTTTTTGTAGTTCAGATAAGATCATAGCTAAGTGCTATGACTTACTTAGAATAAATAATGACCTACATACCTTGCCTTTATTTCTGACATCCTGTTGCACTCATAATCAAAGTCATTGGTTTCTTCATTATTCAAATGGATTCTTAATTGGTGACTCTACCTTAAGTATGTTTACTCAGAAATAAGTCTTACTCATTTCAGAAAGGTATATTACCTGGCAATTTTATGAATGAAGCACAGTGGTGATCTGGATTTTTTCGAACCCAACATCTGGTAACTTTAGTTAAGTTGATTTCCAGTTCACAATAACATACTTGTCTAAAATTATGAAATAGATCTTATGTAAATTTCATGTAATACTGTAGCTAAAATTCAACATAAAAGTACCAATGCTTCTGCAGAATTTTTTCCTGGATTAGCAACATAAGTGATTCTTCATATATGTAGCCTACTGACACCTCTATATAATTTAACAGAGTAATGTGTGGCCCCAAACATTCTATATGTCTAGTACATCATCTTACTAAACAGATAAATAATACGGAACCAAATTTCTGTACCACAAAGTTAATTCTGATACTAGTTTATAACTTAAGACAGCTCAGAGTAAAGGTACAGCATGGAAGTATGTTCAAGTTTTCATACTAAGAATTTATTTTTCCGTTCCATATGGCCCTTGAAGGCCATTCAGAAGCATCAACTGGTCCAGAATTCAGTGGCATGGGTAGAGATGGGCATGCTTTAACATGCTTATGTTGACAACTGTTGCTTTTTGAGTTGCATTATCTGTCACTCTGGTTCTGGATGCAATTCAAGATAGAGTTGGTTGGTTGGTTGGTTGGTTATTTATTTGTATCCCGCTTTTATTATTTTTACAAATAACTCAAGGCATTGAATGTACTTAATACTCTTTCTCCGTCCTATTTTCCCCACAACAACCTGAAGAGATGGCTTAGACTGAGAGAGTGACTGGCCCAAAGCCACCCAGTTGGCTTTCATGGATAAGGGGATTTAAACTCAGGGTCTCTAGGTTTCTAGCCTGGTGCCTTAACCACTAGACCAGAGTTCGCAACCTTTCTGGGTTGGCAGCCTGGAGCAGGGTATGGGGAAAACAGGGGATAATCTTTTTTTTTTTTAAATAAAAGTTTTATTTAAGTTTTCACAAAACATACAAATACAAATAAAATATCTTTTTTTGAGAACAGCGTGGCCCTGGGTTATCACTTCTCCATACAGACATAAACTCAATACATATTTATCTTATACATTCTAATCCATATCTTATAACTATTTTCACAATTTTTTCAATAGCTTTTCCCTTTCTTTACTTCTTATAGCCTTATTTTAAATTATCTAATTCCTTTCTTAATTCAATTACATATCTTTTTCTAATTTTTAAAATCTTTCTAATCAATATTTTTATACTTTCGTCTGTCCTGTTTACAATTTCATATTATCTTTTCTCATAAAACAAATATTCCCCTGTAATTACTAGACTGGAATGTAACATCTTTGTATCTTTTCTCAAATCTTATTTAAAAATTTAAGTTACATCTTTACAGTTATAACATTCATTTTCTAACCTCTATTTTATAACACATACCTATTTTCAATCAAATTCTGTTTGGTACATTCCCTTAAAATGCACACTAAATTCTTAAAAGAAAAAAGTATATATGTATATATATCTGTGTATATATGTATAACAATAGTAAATGGAATAATTATTCTATTCAAGTACAGCTCTGCCATTAATATTAATAACAATCTTTTACATTTCTATTTCTTTTAACAAACATTATTTAGTAATATCAGTTGTCTTTATTATCTATATTTCATATTTTATTACTGTCTTTAAATAAAAAACCAAACAATAGTTATTAACAGTAGTCAATAAAGTTATTATTCTTATTCAAGTTCACCTTATCAACTGATAAAAATCTTCCATGGGGATAATCTTGTGGGAGGGGCAGGCGCATGTGTGTGCGCACACCTGACTACAGCGATATTTGTGGCAACACTCGTGCAAATGGGGCCGTGAGGGCCCACAAGCCTTGTGTAAGTAGGGCTGCCAGCACCCATGACACTTACGTGAGTGGGGCCATAACAATGCTCACATGAGTGGGGCCGCAACCTCCTGCAATGCTGGCGGTGACATTCACGTGAGTAGGGCCTCATGCGCGTACACCGTCTGGCCACTCATGCCGCCCGGTGGCAATTAGACCACAGCCAGGTAGTAGGCCGTGGCCCACAGATTGGGGACCCCTTCTCCCGCACTAGATCAAACTGGCTGTCATGTATAAAACTCTACAGAACATGGGATTTGGCTATTTGAAAGATTATGTGAGGTACTGGTAGACCTTAACATACAAGAGTTCACTTAGTGACCTTTCAAAGTTAGGACAGCACTGAAAAAAAACACGTGACTTCTGTCCATTTTTCACACTTATGACCATTGCACCATCTCCATGGTCACGTGATCAAAAATCAGATGCTTGGCAACTGGCATGTATTTATGATAATTGGAGTGACCCCCTTTTGTGACGATCTGACCAGCCAAGTCCATGAGGAAGCTAGATTCACTTAACGACCAGGTTAAGTATCTTAGCTGCAGCGATTCACTTCACAACCGTGGCAAGAAAGGTGGTAAAACGGGGCCACTTAACAAACGTCTCACTTAGGAACAGAAATTTGAGGCTCGGTTGTGGTCGTAAGTCGAGGACCACCTCAGAGACCTCGGCTCTACCATCAAAGCTCACAGGCCTTTCAAACCAAGCGGCACTTCCTCCTTCTTCAGGCCGGGAGGGCGCAGGGTTTTCCACCCACTTCGCTCTCGCTTGGGCGGAAATCAAGCGAAAGCAACAGGAAGCCGCCGGTTTTTTATTTACATATATATATACATATACATACAGGCACACACACATATACAGTAGAGAAAAGCCAGCCGGGTAGGAAGCGCCGAGCCGGGCTTTTTTTTTTTTTTTTTTTTAATCCCAGGCTCCTAGCACGAGGGTGCGCGAGCCGTCAGCCGGGGCCTCTCGGTGCGCCTGCGCAGGGACGGTTAGCGGAAGCCGGGCGGCGCGGCGCTGAATATCGCGCGCGCGCGGGGTCCGCGCGGGGGCCTCCCGTTGGTGAGTAAACGACGCGAGAGTGACGCCAAGCGCCGGGAGGCAGCGCTGTCTGCCGCTCGGGCGGGGCTGGTGGGCAACGGTGGGGGTAGGTTGGTGGGGGGGGGGGGAAGGAGGGGGAATGGCTGCCGGCGGTGTGGAAAAAGAAAGAGCCGAATGAGCCCAGCATCCTTGCCTGCCTGCCTTGTCCGTTTCTCCTCCGCCTTTCTGGCAGGGCTGCTCCGCGCCTACCTTTCCTTCTCAGCCTCTTGGGGGTCGGGGCGTGCTTTGAGGAGCAGCGGCTAGCTTCGGTGGCCTGGCTTGCCTTGCCCAGGCGTCTTGGTTAGAAATGAGCAAGCGAGGGGTGGGTGTGGGATATTCAAGAGCATGGCTCTCCAACCTTGGCCGCTTTAAGCCTGGAGGACTTCAACTCCCAGAATTCCCCAGCCAGCTGGCTGGGGAATTCTGGGAGTTGAAGGCCTCCAGGCTTAAAGCAGCCAAGGTTGGAGAACCCTGGTCCAGTGCTTCATTTGGGAGAGGTTCTTCACAAAATGTGCGTGGGGATGTGAATATGTAATACTGTAGTAATTTCCCTGGGACACGTTAAACCCCTCCATGCCCAGAATCGCAAGGATATGACCCCAAGCCTTGCCCTGGTAGCTGGCCGATCTTGTCCAACGCCATAGCTGCTTTAATAAGAGACTCCACACAGCCCCACACCATCCATTGCCATGCTTCCCTCCTGTCCTGGATCCAAGCAAGAAATCAATCTGTTTGCAATAATGGATAATACCTAGTTCGGGTGTAAGATGAGGGTGGATGTGTGTTGTCCGACCCACAAGCTCGGGAAAACGAGCCTCCACTCTCAAATCAATCTGTCCTAAATTATGTAAACTGCCCCAGCCCTCAAAAGGACCCAGGATGGGTCAGTGTTGCTGTCAATGCAGCTTTTATCTGCATAAATTCCTAAGGGCTGTAAATGGGTTGTTTGCCTTGACTGGAATTCCAAAGGCGAACATAATTCACCACATGAAAAAGCCTCTGCAGAATTGGCGTACACAATGTTCTGCTGATTCCATTCAGTTTTGGCGTCCCCCCCCCCCCCCATAGACTGATTAAAGTTTTATTTCTTGAAATGATGGGGCAACCTGTCAACCGCTTAAGAAGAAGCAAAAAGAGTGTCTTGAGTTGGTGATTGAGAAAGGATTCGCGTGAGAAAGCCATAAACTACCCAGGAACATTAAGTGAGGAACCATGGTTCCTTCCAGCAGTGGATACTAGGAAAGAAATTCCCTGCCAGGCAGGGTATGGACGTACAATGGACAAATCCTTTCAGCTTTACTTCCAGTTATATATCTAAAGCCACTATCAGCCCTTTAAGGCAGCCCAGTTTAGGAAACAGATTCCACAAAGACTACTGGAACCTTACTTTATTGTTGCAGAATATAATAACACAAACTTAACAGCCTGATGAAGATTCTGTCTCCATGCTCTTATACCAAAGTAAATCAAGAGACAATCTTAAGGGTTTTTTTCTCACTCCTTCCAGAGGGCTAAGCTGGTATTTGTGTAACTGCTGTTGAATTTCTTCCTCAAGAGCAACTCCATGTTCTTCTTTACCAATGGCTATTCAGTTCAAGGGCTCTTTGCACTTTAGGTCAGCTGGTGGCTCTGTGACATGATTCTAAAAAGTGACTATGAAAGTCAGGATCTGGTCTCCTTCACAGCCCAAAGTGGATCAAGAAGGCAAGAGAGTAGGTCAGGAACTGGATGAAAAAGGGTGTTCTAACAGGAAACGGACAGGATCAGTTGGAGCCACAAGTTTGCCTACACATCATTTCAAATCTCCTCCATGTATATCAAGGTAACCAGCATTGTTGACATGCCATATCTGGAGGGAAGAGAGAAAACACAGCTTCCAGAGCAGAACATCTAAAGCTGTCTTCAGGCTGCCTCGCTTGTGAGTGGAGAAAAAGGCAATGACCTGTAGCTTCCTCGTTTGGAAAGATTTAGTGAATCCTCTTCATGTGGGAGCATATTAAGCTAAAATTAATAGCCCGTTTTGTCATGCAATCTTTAAACTATTCTGTTTCAGATCTTAACAAATGTTTATCATTTGTACATAATTCAGTGCCAAGTGCTGTTTAGTTTTTCAATTCCAATTAACTTTTTACCCATGTCAGACTTTTCTGTTCATTGAATATATGAAAACTGTTGAAAACAACATCCTTCAGTCAATTGTTGTCTTGACTTTATATAAAGTATTAATCCAGTATTAATGTGATATAGGTGTTTTTTTTCTACCTGCTGTTTCAGATCTTGACACTTTTAATAGAACCTTTGTATCAAAGAGTTGTTCTGCAAAGTCTAATTACATAAATTCTCAGATAGATATTGATTAAAATAATGGATCAGATAATTCCAGCCCATCTTATTCTGTTGCTTCCAAGAGCCAAGGATGATAGTGGCTGATATGGTGGTTATATATATTAATCTTCTCATGCTTACTCTTCTAGTTTTTTTTATAGCAGAAAACTTGCTCCAGTTTCTTAGCTATTGCCTCTATTAACAAAGTGAAACTTTTGATAATTAAATACAAAAATGCTGTATGACCACTAGATATGGCTAGATACACCCTCAGTAAAGTAATCTTTCTTCTCTTGTATGTTTTCAGAATATGATGTGTTTTTATGCAATTTCTGATTCGTTTGCTGAACTTTTCTTGGCAAAGAAAAACTTGCCCTACCTATTTTGAGTTTGAACATTTCCCACAGAGTGTTCTATATCTGTATGTGGAAATCAGAGCTTTACTTAACACATTTTTGTAACTATACATTTTTTGTTGGAGCAGATTCTGTAAAAAAAACTATGCAGGAGTTGAGAATAAGTATTTTGCGCTACATTTAATGCTTACAATTTAACTGTAAGCTTCTGAGCTAAGAATCTCAGGCAAGAAGTGAAAAGCAAAAGGGGAAGAAGTAGATGTTCAATTTAGCTTTGCATATAGAATATGAAACAAGTTGCCAACAAGCAGTGAGTCCTGTGACGTGCAGAGTATCTCTGTGAAAATATTTTCAATTCAAATAAGAAATTATAAACATTCCTACATTATTTTGTTCTGATTACCTTGACAAATTATGTGAAAATCAAGATGGTTACTTTCCTATAGAATGTGGTCACATTAGCTAAATTCTCTGCAATTCATTTCTATATTACCCAGAATTGCCAGCTGGCTGGGAATACTTCTCTGGTTAATACTTAATACTTCTCTGGTTGAGAATGATGTTCAGTACATCCAGAACTCTACAGAAGTTTCATTATAGAATGACTGGAATTGTAATTATTTTCTGTAGTTATCAATAAAAAATGGAAGAGTTCAGAGGAGTAAAAACAATATTTTGAAGGACTCTACCTTAAGATTTTAGATGCTTTTCAGTTGTTATTCAGCATCTACATCAAGCCGTTGAGTGAAATTGTCAGAGATTAATTATTACTGTTTTTCTTTCAAAATTGTTTCTCTTTTACATGTCACTTAGATGAGGCTGCAGAAGTGCTGAATCAGTACCTGGAACCAGTAATGGGCTGGATGAGAGCCAGGAGATTAAAGTTTCATTTCAACACATTGAAGATTCTATAGGTGTGTAGCTTCTCGATTAAGAGAATTGAAATTTATTCTTTGTTGTGGTCCATTTCATCAATTTCAGGGAGGCACGTTGTTCCAGTTTTGACCAATGTTGTCTTATGACATCATGTCAGGTACCTGTAGGATAGTGAACAAATTACATTCTCCTTTGGCTGGAAATAGGTTGACTGTGGTTAGCTACAGCGTCAAAACGATCAGGATGAGTATTACCATGCCATATACAATATGCAGACATGATATTCTTCCGATTAAAATCGGAATTCCGGTTTTTTTGGGAATCGCCCCCCCTTCCCCCCCTTCTTCTCCTCCTTCCCCTCCCCTCGGAGGCCCCGAGTCAGGAGTTGCTATCGCTGGCGCGGCTCTGCGTGGCTCCAGTCCCGCGTTGCCTCAGGAAGGGAAAGGCAAAAAGGAAGAGCCGCGGCGGCGCTTTGCAACGGCAGCAGCGGCTCCTGGTTTTGCCTTTCCCTTCCCGAGGCAACGCGGGACTGGAGCCGTGCGGGCGGTAGCAACTCCTGACAGCCCCAGCCGGATACCTGAGTGGAGGCCGGGCGGGCGGGCGGTGCGAGCGGAGGCCGGGCGGGCGGCGGGCGGTGCGAGCAGAGCCCGGGCGAGCGGAGGCCGGCTGGGCGGTGCGAGCGGAGGCCGGCTGGGCGGTGCGAGCGGAGGCCGGGCGGGCAGGTGGGCGGTGCGAGTGGAGCCTGGGCGGGCGGGCGGTGCGAGCGGAGGGCGGGCGGGCGGCCGGTGCGAGCGGAGCCCGGGTGGGCAGGCGGCCAGTGCGAGCGGAGCCCGGGCGGGCGGCAGGAAAAGGGAGCTGGGCAGCGATTTCTTGGCGCGCGGTGGGGGGGTCTCTTTTGGCCGGCGCCGATTTTTTTTTCAGAGGGGAATATCATGCCTGAATATGTGAGACTATCTTTGATAGTTTGTGAAATTACACTTTATACCTGCTCTGTTGCATTGTCTACTAAAATGCTGAGCATTTATAGCCTGATTTCTGGCCCATTTCTGCACATAATTTAGAGCCCTTGTGTGGTTTTCAACTTGTTAGGACTGTGCCTTGAAGTAGCAGATGAAATCTTATCAAAGAGAGATCCAATCTAGAATTAAGGAGAAATTTCCTGTCAGGGAGAATGATCAGAGAAACAGCTTGCCTCCAGAAGTTGTGGATGCTCTTATCGCTGGAGGTTTTTAAGAAGAGACTGGACAGCCATTTGTTTGGAATGGTATAGGGCCATAATGGCGAAACTATGGCACGCGTGCCAGAGGTGGCACGCAGAGCACTCTCTGTGGGCATGCGAGCTGTTGCCCCAGCTCAGCTCCGCACATGTGCGCGTCCTGCCAGCCAGCTGGTCTTCAGGTCTATGCCACGCATGCGCGGGGGTGGGGCACACGTGCAGGGGTCATTGCACCTATGCGCAGGGGCAGAGCGCATGCGTGGGAGTTGTGTGTACATGCGCGGGGGCATGAGGGTGCACGCGCATGCACGGGGCAGGGCGCATGCACGGGGGGCAAGCATGTGTTGCATTTTGAGGATGCGGTGTGCGCACTTTGGCGCTTGGTGCCGAAAAGATGAGCCCTCACTGGTATAGGGTCTCTTGCTTGAGCAGGGAGTTGGACTAGAAGTCTTCCAAGGTCCCTTCCAACTCTATTTTTCTGTAATCTGAAGTCATCTTGGAGGAAGCCACACCATTAATGGCAAAACTGGGGATTTTAAAAGACTTGGTCTTCTTGACAGAAATGCCCCGTCTTTGAAATTGTTTCTTGAGGAAGCCTTGCCTGCATCTACCCTTTTGTCTTTCTGGGAACAAGACATTCTTCCCAACTTACATATGCTGCTTTTTAATTATTTTATATCATCGTATTGTTTCCATTTTTCTGGAAGCAAAACTGAGTTGAAAGGTTGTATAGAGTCCTCTAAATATCAAAAAGAAAAATCAAAGACACTTAAAGCCAGAGAGGGTTTACTAGAGGTCGAGTCTTAAAAATCGTTTAAATAAAGATAGTTATAGATAGTCCTGGATTTACGACTGATTGCTTAACAACAAGTTATGACAGATTTGAAAAAAAAGTTACAACCTGTTCTCAATGTTACAACAGCTACACCACATGATTGTATTTCAGATGCTTGGCAACTGGCTTGCATTTATTACTGGTTGCAACGTCCCACAATCACGTGATCAGCAAAAAATGTCATAAACACCCATTGGATAAGCTGGAATTGGACTTAAGACCACATGATTTGCTTAATGACAGTGGTGACTCGCTTTACAACCATTATAAAAACAATTGTAAAATCAAGTCCAGTCATATGGTGACTCGATCTAAAACAACCAAATTACCTATAACCACAATTCCAGTCTCATTTTTTATTGTAAGTCGAGCGCTATCTGTATTTCAGTTCAACATAACTTCAGATTGGAGGCACTTCAAAAAATTCATAAATTTGCAGATATTATGATTAGGTTTTTTAAATTATTCAGATTGCTAATCTAATTCTAATTACAATTCTTTTCTCCTTAGGCTGATTTTTCCCTTTCAGTGTGGGACAAGCTGTCATCAGATTATGTAAAATGGGACTACGAATTCATTTTGTTGTTGACCCTCAGGGCTGGTTCTGTATGGGCCTGATAATCTTTGTTTGGCTTTACAATACTCTCTTCATTCCAAAAATTATCCTCTTTCCACATTATGAAGAAGGGCACATATCTGCAGCTGCCATACTATGTAAGTCAAGGTTGTCATTTTCTTCATTCTATCAAATTCTTATATGGAAATAGAGTAGGCATCTAGATACGTTTTATGTGATTCTGCTTGACGGTTTGGTATTGCTACTTCTTTACTATTCTTCTTTTATATGACAAGTATGAGGTAGAGTGCCTTTGAACTTTCAGAAATGTATATACCATTCTTCTCTGTAAATTCCAAAATCCTACTAATTGAAGTGTTCTGAATGGAAATATATCTGTTTTTCAGGCTATTATCTATTTTCATTGTTCTGTATTGCCTCGTTGTTAAGAGCATCGGTAGCAGATCCAGGGAGATTACCTGAAAACCCAAAGATACCAATTACAGGTACAGCTTATATCAACATGACTGAAGTTGTGTGCTTTAAATTAGTCACATGCTCAAAATATTGATCCATGTTTTGATCTGCCTCATGGTGGAAACTGTCTTGGTTGCCTAAGTCTCTAAGGAATTGATACCCTTGATCCTCTGAATCTCTCAGCACCTTTTCATATCCTCAGTCATTGTATGCATTTCGACTTATATGCAGGTAGTCCTGGACTTACAGCCATTCCTTTAGTGACTGTTCAAAGTTACAACAGCACTGAAAAAAATGACTGGTTTTGACACATCCCCATCATCACATGATCAAAATTTGGGCATCCTGGCAACTGCATGTATTTATAATAGGTGCAGTGTCCTGGGGTCATGTGATCGCTATTTGTAATCTTTCCCCAGCCGGCTTCTGACAAACAAAATCAGTGGCGGACTCCGGATTCACTTAAGGATGGCATGAGTCACTTGACAACTGCAGTGATTTGCTTAAAAACTCTGGCAAAATAAGATTGTAAACTGGGGCAAAAGTCAGTTTAAAAAACTGCCTTGTTTAGCAACAAGAAATTTGGGGCTCAATTGTGATCGTAAGTCAAGGACTACTATACACACCATCCAGCAAATTACTGGCTGCTTTCAAGAAAGAGCTGGGTGAAGCGCTTGATGGGAAGAGCTAGAAAATACCTTGAACTGATATTGCTGAAATTGGAGTTTGCAAATGAGGCTGGGGATAGCAGGGTGAACAGGGCGATTCCATGCTGGCCAAGAATTCCCCAGCCCTGATTCCTGTTCATCTATCAATAACATCTATCAATAATTTCCTTTGTTTATCTGTCTCCTGGTTTTTCTGTCAATGTTGATATTCAAAAAAGTAAGGTAGCCTTATGAAATAGTGTTAAAAATGAGATCTTTTTTTAAAAAAAATTAGAACATTCTAATAGTTTCAAAGCCCCCTGTGACAATTGGCCTAGAGAACAGCCAACTAAAGGGACAGTGTCCTCCTGTCAACGCAAGAACCACCTTCCAAGCACAAAGAGAAGATCTTTAAAACGTAGTCGTCGTGCTATGTTTTAAAATTGACTAGATGTCCCAGCACAAGGGAATGAGAAAGCTGACTATTCCTTCTTGCCTTTTTCCATGCAGTGGAAGTTTCATTGCTGGACGATTGGGAAGTGGGGAAAGAAAATGAGGAAAAGGTGGTTTATGCTTTCCTCTTTGAAAAAGCTTCTATTGGCAACAATAGCGCTCATAATTATGGACAATATATTTGATGCCTGTTTGAGAGGAGGGGAGAAAGAGAGATGAGAGAGGGAGGGAGGGAGGGAGGGAGAGAGAGAGAGAGAGAGAGAAATTAGGACTGAGATCCCTAGAGATCTTTGAATCAAGTATTGAAGCAACATTAAACAGAAGAGGCAGTATGTTATAATTAAGATAAGTGCCTACAGAAATCCCATGTGTTTATTCCATGCAAATAGAAGAAGTGTAGATTATATTCTTGATTTTGTTGAATTATATTAATGTAATCTGGGGAAGGTTCTTTTTTGGGGGGCGGGGGAGTACAAATATACCCAATATTCCAGAAGCAAAGATACCATACTTGTATGGTCAGATGCATTTATTCCCTGCTTTTAAATTACATTGTGGAGCTTGCCTTCTGTTAATGGTAGCTCTCTTATTAAAGAGTAACACCTTTGTGACATTGGCTTTATGAGAACATACTGAAAATCAGTTTCCCATCTGGCATTATTGCTAGTTTAATGATCTTGATTATTAGATTTCCAAACTGCCAATGTGCAAGTATGTCATTTTTCACCAAGTTGAAAAATATGGCAACTCACAGAAAACTTAAAATCAATCCTTTTTTTAAAAAACAAATTTTATTAATTTTAAAGACAAACAAACCATCATTAACCATTAAATACATAAACCTCTTTCCATTATAAATTTTACAAGTCAAAAAACATTATTTTATACAACATAATGCTATTTTAGACCATTTCCATATGAACATACAAATATCTCATCAAATTTCTCCTTATTTCTCTTTACTCTTATTCAATTTCATTATTATTATTATTTTTCTCTATATTTATCCAATTTATAATTATCATCTATTTCTCTCTGACTTGGTTACCATTATTCTCATCCTACATTCCTGCAAGGTTTTATTAATTCTCCCACATACATAAACACACAAAACACAAAAATATAAGACATCTTTTAGGAAAGTAACTTGGCCCCAGATACCTCTCTCTATATGGACTTCAATTAAGTTCATGCTCATCTTACATGCCATTACCTATTTTATTTACCATTCTATATCTTCTATATTAGCTTCTCCACACATTTCACTCTTCTTGATTCTATCTTATTTAATTCATTTTAATTTAAGTCATTATATTTGTATCTTTTGTCCATTCTTTATTATCTATTTGTCTCATTCCCTATAGTAAAGAGGAAAAAGAATTTCTCCTGAAATCACTAATCAGAGTATGATGCCTTTCTATCATCCCCCTAAATTAACATTTAAAATAACACCTAATACCCAATCTGATTCTGCTTGGTACATTCTATCTACTAACTTTTAAAAAGAAAAATAATAAATCCAAAATGATTAAATACATAGTGAAATAATAAATCTAAATATTGAATCTTATAACATTCCAATTATCTTTTCCAAAAACAAATGCTACAATAATAAGTTTATAATAGCATCAACACCATAGTCAATTAGACTCTTTAATTAAACTCAATATTCTAAACATTCCCTTTAATATTTTATTAGGTTTTAAAATCAATCATTACTAAACATTTCAATATTTTAATCTCTTATTAATTCTTATAACATTCTAATTTTCTATTTCTAATACAAATGCTACAGTACCATCTTATGTACCTTGCAGAATCTTTTTTAAAGAAATTATACATTACCCTTTGTCCCTAAAAAAAATTCCTCTTTTCCCATCTTGTTTCAAAGCTTTGTGGCTTTTTTCCGCCTTTTCCCTTCCTTTCTTCTCCCACCAGGCCTTCTTATCCCCCCTCTCCTAGCCTCTGCCTTGTTAGCTTCCCTTCTCTGTTCTATTCCTTTTTTCTTTTGTTTTCTAACATTATATTGATTTTGCATCTTATTTTTCTCTTTCTTGGGTGTTTTTTTAAGTCTTAAGTCCTTCATTTTCCTTCCTCTCTTTCTCCTTTCTTTCTTAATTAAATTTTGAGATTCATTAAAGATGGCTTCTTCTTCTTCTTCTTCTTCTTCTTCTTCTTCTTCTTCTTCTTCTTCCTCCTCCTCCTCCTCCTCCTCCTCCTCCTCCTCCATCTGTTGTTGTGTTTGTTGATAGATAGCAAGCGCCATTTCTAAAAAGAGAAAAGCTTCTTTCACAGCATCCTTGCCTTCTTTTTTTATTTTTTCATATTCTTTTCTCAGTTCATCAACAGATAAAGCCATTATAAATCTTTTCTTTTCTTTTTTTCTTCTTTCTTCTTAAAACAACCAAGATGTTTCAAAAGTTAGAACAGTCCCAAAATCCCAAAGTCATCAATCAGTCCAAGCCAAAACAAAGTTCTCACTTTCTCTTCCTGGGGTAATATCAATCAAGAAAAAAAGAAAAACCAAATCTGTATTTTAAAGCCTTATTGCAATAAATTTCAGTCTTCAAATCCTTAAGGCATCTCCTCCAACAAGATCTTAATATATATATATATTTTGTCCTCTCCCTTCCCACTTATCACAAAAAGCAAGTTTTTACCTTCTATAAAAAGACAGCTTTCTCAATATCCATTTGTTGATTCCATAGAGAAGGAGAGTAAACTTTCCTTTTCAGCACCTCAAAATTGCCGCTTATAATTCTCTTCTGGAAAGTATCATTCAGAAAGCCATAATTTTCAGGATGTTAAATGTGTCTTAAAGTCCTGGGTCAGCCAAGAAAAACTTTCACTTCAAAAACTTTCTCCTCTTCCTCCTGAACATTCTTACCCAGCTGCCGGCTTCTTTGTGGCGGCCATTGCAGACCGCCGCTGCACCGTCTTGAGAAAAGGGGGTTTTGCCGGCTGGGGAGGGGGTCTGCAACACCCCCAAACCCCTCTCCAGATCCCCCCTATCTTCAGCCGCCCCTGCAGGGCAGCCTTAACCTCCAAACCCGTCCGGATCGGAGGCACCAAAACGGCTAGCGCCGCAGGGATCGCGCAGTATTGCGAATCCATGCCGCTAGCGAAGCCGACAAACCGGAAGTCCTGAAAACTTAAAATCAATCCTTATAAACATTTTTTCAAATGGATTATTCACTATAAACATAATTTTATGGAAGTACTAGGTTTAATATACATACTAGAAACGTTTGGCCATGTCTATGTCATTCTGTTTCAGTTTCTGTTTCAAAGTAGCTTTAACATTTTAGTGTGCTCAGATATAAAAATAAAACCATGCTGCTTCTTTCATAAAGCAAATATGGGCATCATAGATTACATCTAACGTATTTTTGTGCTGAATTAAATGCATCCTTAAAAATAAATTTAATTTTAAAATATTTGAACAGATAAATATTGGGAGCAGTTAAGTTCTAAGATTTAATTTAAATTCTGAGGTTTATCTGGATATTATTTTCAGTGTGCTTTTATTATGACCCGTGATTCCAGTTTCACTCGCTACATGAGAAAATCCAATAGTTTTGACTGATTGCAATAAGGGCCATAATTTTATATGCTTTCTTCTAAAATCCTCAACATTCGTCCCCACAAGTACAAGAAGTCTGTGTTGTTGAAGAGAAGCAAGAACTTAGCAACAATTCTGTATTTCTGTTAATATTATATTTGTTTCTCTCTTTAGAAAAAGACTTTTGGGAATTATGTAACAAATGTAATATGATGAGACCAAAGCGTTCCCACCACTGCAGTAGATGTGGGCATTGTGTTAGGAGAATGGATCATCACTGTCCATGGTAAGAGGACTCTAGTATGTCATCTAATTTCATCTTCTTTAAACTTCTAATTTAATTACAGTGACTCAGTAAGCTTTTTCTAATAATTAAAGGTAAAGGTTCCCCTCGCACATATGTGCTAGTCGTTTCCGGGTCTAGGGGGCGGTGATCATCTCCGTTACAAAGATGAAGAGCCAGTGCTGTCCGAAGACGTCTCCGTGGTCATGTGACCAGTATGACTAAACACCGAAGGAGCACAGAACCCTGTTACCTTCCCCACCAAAGTGGTCCCCATGTTTCTACTTCCATTTTAACATGCTTTCGAACTGCTACGTTGGCAGAAGATGGGACAAGTAACGGGAGCTCACTAATAATTCTAATAATTGCATACTTCTTAATTCTACAGCATGATAATGTTTTGGAATCAAAATGATATTAAATTGAAACACAGGTAGCCAGTCCCCTTCTTACAGCAGTTCACTTAGTGGCAGTTCGAAGTTACAATGGCACTGAAAAAAGTGACTTATTACCATTTTTCACACTTACGATGTTGCAGCATCCCCATAGTCACGTGATTTATATTTGGATGCTTGACAACTGACTCATGAAGGTTGCAATGTCCCGGGGTCATGTGATCACCTTTTACACCATTCTGGCAAGCAAAGTCAATGGGGAAGCCAGATTTACTTAACAACAATGTTACTAATTTAATAAGTGGCTCACTTAACAAATGTGGCAAAAAAGTCGTAGAATGGGGCAAAACTCACTTAATAAATTTCTCACTTAGCAACATAAATTTTGGGCTCAATTGTCGTCGTACGTTGAGGATTACCTGTACTAATTTTGTTTTTAAAAACGAAATATAAATGTCGCACTATAAGACCAAGGAACGTTGTTCCTGTTTCAAAAATAGTTCAGAAGTAAAAGAATTCTTAGCCTTAAAATGTAACATTGGGACTTCTGAGAAGGAAATGGGGAAGTGACTGAAGTTGCGACAGTGCTGAAAAAAGTGATTTACAATCAGTCCTGACACTTATGACTGTCCCAGCATCCCCATGGCTGTGTTCAGAATTTGGGTGCTTGGCAACTAGCATGTATTTACAATGGTTGCATGATCCTGGGATCATGCAATCAACATTTACAAACTTCCCTTCCAACAGGCAATCTCAGTTGGGGAAGCTGGATTCGTTTAACAACTGTGATTTGCTTAAAAGTCCTGGCAAAAAAGATCGGAAAATCAGGCATGATTTATTTAATGACCGCATTGCTTAGCAGTAGAAGTTCCAATTGTGGCTGTAAGTCGAGGACTACTGGCATATGTTATACATCTGGCTAGTGTCCTGTCCGTGTGTGAGAGAGTTGAGGGCTGTTTGGAAACTGAAACAGTATTTGCTGTGTGAGCAACAAGGAGACAGCAAGGAGCCTGTTCTGTACTAAAGCTGCTTGGTGCTGTGAAACTAAAACTGAGACTGAAACTCCTCTCCTCTGCTTGTGTTTTGCATTTGGAACAGATTTATTTTCAGGTGGGGAGGGGGAGTAGAACTCTTTAGCATCAGAGCACGTTAATAATAATATAGGAAATACTAATGCTCTGATGATCATTTTGAAAAATCCTTTCTTAGTGAGCACCTAGAAGCCAAGAGGAACATATGTGCCAAATTTCAAGTTTGTAGGCTTTACGGTTCTGGAGATTTTGTGATGATGCATGAGTGGTATTTTGCTTCTCTATATATAGATAATCATCCTCTGACCATATTACAAGAAAGATTTTCATGCAAGAACAAAAAGATGCAACTTTATAAAAATTCCCTATGTAGCTTTACCATTGTGAAAGGTTATAGCTGGTGAAACTGGACTGCTACAAATTTAGTTGATGAAGGGAAGGGAAGGGAAGGAGGAGAAATGTAAAGGAAAGGAAAGGTAAATGCTTTTCTACTGCCCCAATTCTTTCAGCCACTATGAGAAACATGCTTCCCCCATTAGAGGCTGCTAGGTTTTTGACACACCTGTTTTAGTGTTGAATGTTATGAACCTTTGACATTCCTATCTCTGTGTTTCCCCTGTTTTCTGCAGGATTAATAATTGTGTTGGTGAAGATAATCATTGGCTGTTTTTGCAGTTGTGCTTCTACACACAACTCCTGAGTTTTTATACACTCCTACTTGATTTCTGCCACTATTACTACTTTGAACCACTAAGAAAAGTTAATGCGGTAAGAAAATCGCCTGCTTGTCAGAATAAGATAAAAAGTGTGTGTTAATGTATTTTGGTAATTGAAATACTTGCTTTTGGAGCAGGGAATCCACTATCTTACTCTCACAAATTGAACACTACTACTGCACTCCCAAATCTGGTGGACCTTTGGGAGGACAGGAGAATTATAGGCAGGGACTGTCAAATTATAGCCTTTAAACCACACCCTGCTTGCCATCTGTATAAAACAAGAATGGATGGGTGGTAGGTGGCAAATTGCCAGGTCTGAATCTCAGCTGAACTTCCAGATTGGGTTCCTTGGCCTGCAGATCTTCCAACAGCATCCAGAGAGGTGAGGGAGCATCTGACCCTTTACAAAAATAATCCCCTGCTGACCCCCCCTGGAAAGATTGCACTAAGGTGATAGAAGGAAATGGGGAGAGGGAACAGGCCAAGAGAGAGAAAAATGAGTGAGTGGACAAGAAAGGATGCCTTGGGAGAGCTGTAAGAGAAGAAGGGATGCAGTGAAAGGGTAGAAGAAAGAAGAAAATAAACTTTTTTTTAGCTTCATAAATATTAGGTAGTTTAACAACTGCCTCATTTAAGCAACTGTTTGCGGTTATGACAGTGATGAAAAAGTAACTTTGCAATCTGACCTGGCATTCATGAGCTTTACAGGTCTGTGAAGCAAAGCTGATCATACAATCGTGATGTCTCGTTTAGTGACCACTTTGCTTAATGACCAATTGATGCCACTAAACAAGGTCAGCTGTAATGTCAGCTAAATTTGGGGATGATTATGAATGTATGGAGTTGAGATCTTGATGTTCTGCATAACCGCCTTATCCCATTCTTTACTCTGTCCTTTGGCAATAAGGAATAGGAATAGTCGGGGTGGGATACGACAGGGTTAACTGCCGGTTTGGGATTTACGAGCTTCCCTGCACGCTGTGAGCGCGCCTGTAAATCGTCATTAGCACACTGCGTGCTGAGAAGCAGCCTTTGAAACAGCCCTCATTTCTTGTTTTTTTAACTGCAGCTGTGCCTCGTTCGGCAGCTGAAGTTGAAAAAACAGGAAATAAAGGTCAGGTAAGAGCCCAGGTGGGCAGATGGGCAAAAACATCAGCAGACATAGAACCAGTTCTATGTCTGCTGCTCTTCAGAGCTACCAGTTCTACAGAGGTGGACAGAACCGGTAGAAACCCTGGAAATAGTGGAAATAGTGAGGAAAACCTGTTTCGTCAAGACAAAAATTCAGTATAGTCAATATTTCATCTTATACAGTGTCAACTGCAGCAATTAATGTCTTGTCATATTTCATTCTTTCTCATTCTCTTTACACTATGTTGGGGGGGGGTCAAACTCAAGGCCCACGGGGTGCTTAGACCTGGCCCATGGGGTCACCCTGGAAACAGCAAAGGACCAGCCCACAGTACCTCTGCCAATAAAAACAGCTCAGGAGGGCTGCATGCGGCCCTCCCGAGCTCTGCTTTCACTGGCAGAGGGCTGCAGGAGGCCGTTGCACCCGAAAACGGAGCCCAGGATGGCCGTGTGTGGCTCTCATGAGCTCTGTTTTGACTGGCAGAGTGCTAGCAAGACAAACTACTAGCAAAAGTGGCATTTGATCACATGAGTGACATCAAACACCACCCTGATGCAGCCCTCAGTGAAATCGAGTTTGACACCCCTGCACTAAGTGGTCTGAAGCATTATTATTTTCCTGATTGATTACAGGACTAGTTCAGCTTTTGTATAATGCATCATAGCCACCACATCTCTATCATGCAATTGTCATAATTCTGTTCAATAGGCTGCATTGCAGATAGAATCATATTATCGATTACTTTTTCCCCCAGACTTTAAAATCTAAGTAAAAGTAATATCTACTAGGTGGTGACCCAGAAGTTTGTTTGTGACAAACTTCAGTAAGATCCAACCCGTAAAAATATTTAATGTTTTAATGTATAAATATTAAAAATGAACTTCAATATGTCCACATTACATTCAATAGCTTGTAAAAGCTTTTCTTTTACTTATGAACTAACAGATATTAGCTTAGTAGAATTGACTATAATTTGCACATTCTGCTGGAATGACTGCAGCATAGAAGTATTTGATAAAGGAGTAAAATCATACACATTTCATTGCAAAGTCTGCAGATACTGCAGTTGTTTGTCCAGTAGGAGGAGTAATTTTATAAGATGTCTCTAGAAAGGAATTGTGTACAATGTACAGATTTCTTGGTAATTATCAGAAGTCATTGCAAATGTCAAAATTTCATAAGCTGTCATAGGGAAACACAAGAGTTGTTGCAAGACTTAGTTTTTGCAATAGTTTTTGCTGAATTTGTATTTTTAAAGTGTATCAGTCGTCACTGTGTAGGATAGGATCAGGGTATGCATTGCTGATTCCTGTAGTAAACAATCTACAGTGGTACAAATATAAGTAGCAAAAAAAAAAAAAAGAGTGAGGGAACAAGCCACAATTGGCCAAAGAACATGCAGTTTTGAATTTTGGAGTACACTTTTGCATTTCCTGTTTATCAGAATAACAACATTAAACTGTTATATTTTCTTTTACAGGATGTCTTTGTGTTTAGACATGAGCTTGCCCTAACAAGAATATCAACATTCATGGGTTTAATTACGTTAGTTGGAATTACTGGACTCTTTTATACCCAGCTAATTGGTGTATTTAATGTAAGTGTTTAATTCCTTTGATATATTTTTATGCATATATTTATGCAATGCTGAAAATATATAATCTGTTGTTGTTCTTCAGCTGTTCAGTTATTTGCATCACTTTGTGACCCAAAGCTTATCAATTTGCCAGAGGGGAAATTGCAGAGGGGAAGCAGGCAGATTTGAAGACTTAGAACAAATGCTTATAAAAATTTTTAAAAAGAAAAAGATTGCTGAAGCTAGTTGGAAGGCCATATCTCTGAGCTCATACTGCGTAGCATTAAAAATCTCCCTTTGTTTGCAGCTATCATACTTTTCTTGATATAGGCACCAAAAGAAAAACTGGGGGATTTTTGTAAATACACGTTTGAAGATTTCATCTGTTAGTACCTTGGTCCCAAATCGGTTGGATGTTAAAGGACCAAAACAGAGTTGGAAATCAAATAACAGCCATTTTGTTGGCAATAATATGTTCATAGTGCTGAGTTCCAGCTATCAGTCTCAGAACTTTTATTATCACTTGACTGAAGTTTCTGGACCATTTTCAGAGGCAGCCCTGCATTAATAGTAATTCAAATGAATTCCTATAATAATACATTCCCAGAGGATGTATTATTGAAGCAGGCTCATCCCCATCTAATTAAGATTGTGGCTGGCATGGAAGCTTATGCTAGAAGAAGCCATACTAATCTATAGGGGCATTTGTGCTCCTAATGATAATTATGGATCATGAGCACTTTTAAATTAAGAGCCCATTCTTTGAAGAAGGTGTGTTTCCTTGCAGGACAGGATGGACCAGCTCAATTCAGAATTAACTACCTAGTAATACTGTCTTGTCATAATTTAGTTTCAATTTATCAGCATTTCTCTCGTCCATTATATGTGACAAAGAACTAGTGTAGAACATCCAGTGCTTTTTAGGAGTTTGATGCAGAGGATAAATACTTGGTGATGATGAAGGCATAATCTTAAGTCCCTAGACCAGAAGATAACAGATTTGGTGTCCATTAACCTGTGTGCATCCTCTCTCCAAATAAAACTTTTTCTCTATGTTCTGATACAGTTCCCTTTCTCTTTGTCCAGTCACAATGTGAGTGTGATCTAGAAGTATTCCAGCTATCTTTGTCAAACCAAACTGGTGTATCCAAAACTGGACTGTTTCTAGAAGTAGTGCCTGGGATTCTGGCCTAACTTCTGGCCCTAACACTTTTGTACTTCTGGCAGCAGTTCCTGAAATATCTCCAACCAGTTCTTGAAATGCCACCCAAGTAACTTAATCAGGATTAAGGCTGTTTTGTCTAGTCCAATATTTTGTTTTCACCCAAGGTAGAATGGCTGATTTGGGTTTCTTTTAGGGGAGCCACCATACTAGATCATGGCCCTGAGGCTGATCTCCAGGTAGCCAAAGCACTGCATCTTTTTCAATCTTTTTCTAGTTAATCTGTACCCATAGAGGTGCCCCCACTGAGTTTTAAGTGAAATGATTGGGGAATCATTGATGTAGAATCTAAGGATAGACATTTGGGTTGAAAATTTAGTTGAGTAAAGTAATTTAACTCAAAGGTCATATAATACTGGTAATACAACCAAAAGATCAATTAGCAGATTAAATATCAGGGTAGTCAAACTAATACCAGTACCGATACCAGTATTTGTAATACCAATACCAGTAATTTTATTTCATAAACACCACTATTTATTGATCTTATATCTTTGTGTTTGCTTGAAGTTTTAACTATTATGCCGTATCTATTGAGATTCCTTAATCTCTATAACCATTTTGAGTCCTAATAAAGAACTATTTGTTTTTGACCTGTGATAGCTCCAAACCTATGAAGTTCTCTTTAAAATGAAATGTGTTACCTAATAGAGAGAATTATAATTGGCTATCTAATGATTGTCTAGTTCAGGGGTTGTTGAAAAAAACAGAAGAATCTACAATATGTAATCTGAATTTCATGTCCTGATTTTTTCCTTTTCAAATCTTGTTTGAAACTGGCCAGAACCAGTGGATGGAAGATGAAAGTATCTACAGCACTCATGATTGTTATGATTGAGCAATGTTTCAAATTCAAAGGGGCGTAGGACTTTGGAATAAACTATGCAGACATCGTCTCCTTAAATGAACTTGGTCCTTCCCAGGACCATACAGCTACCCTTTGCAACTGCAAAGATTTCTGAGAAAGACATTTTGGTTGAAGACGTTGCTTACAGTGCTTTATATGCACATAGAAGCCTTAGAGCAGGGGTGTCAAACTCGTGGCCCGCGGGCCAGATGCATCACGCACTGGCCAAGTCCCCCTCCGGTTTAACAAACGGGAAAAGTCGCAATACGTCACATGACAACAACATGACGCCTTGAGTTTGACACCCATGCCTTAGAAGATAAAAGAAGTTTAGCAAAGAGGAGAAATCACTTTGTTGTTCTAGATGCGCTTTTAAAGAAGGAACAAAGGGGGTTTGGACTATCTGATCCATCCCTCTTACTGATAAGGTGACTCTGGGCAGATAACAAACAGTGTAAAGATAATTATAGAAACAGTTACAATTGCACTACATGAAAACTAGAACCAAGGAGACAAATGGCATGGGATGAGATCTTCTTCTTACCCTGTCAATCACTTCCAATGGTGAATGTCCCTCTCAGAGCCATAAGCCAACCAGCAAAATCAGGTTTTGATACCCCTTCCAGAAGGCCAGAATGGTGGCAGCAGTTCTGGTTTTGGGTGGTAGAATGTTCCATAGGTCTGGGGTCACAGTGGAAAATGTTCTTCTTGACCCCACCAGCTGGAATTCCTTGGCCCACAAAGTCTGCGGCTGAAGTAGCCTTATGGCTAAATACCACCTACCATTAGCCTGAATCCAAAGTTTAAAAGTGCTGCATTCCTGATTTCTTTAGGTGTATTAGAAAGAAACTTAAAGGCTTTTAACTTTTTAAAGCATTAACTAAAAGAAGGGCTCCTCTTTCTTCTTTGCCTCCATAATTTTTTGCTTTAAAAAAACCCATTTTTCACTGGGTGTTTGCCAGTGAGAAGATACTGTATATTTTAATGGAAAAAAATAATGTGCTTCATTGCTATATGCAAGGAGTCTTTTTTTTTTTTTTTTTTGCTATTTCTAGTTTATGTTAAAAGACTTACATGGAAGGGAAAATATGTTTTGGAGGGTTTAGATAGGGGTGTCTTAGGTTTCATCACGGTGGCGTCATGTGACGTATTGGGACTTTCCCCCCCTTCACTAAACCATGGGCATGGCCAGCGTGTGACACATCCGGCCCGTGGGCTGCGAGTTTGACAGCTTTGGTTTAGATATATTTGAAAGGAATCAGACTTTCCCTGTTAAACGCACATCTGTAACTTGTAGGAAGCTGTTCTCACCTTGTTTATAAAACAGTAATCATTTTCACACCATGACACTACTTGTGATCCCTAGTTGTGATCTGAACTTGGTTCCGGCAGTGTATACGTGTATATTTCCTAAGATTGGTGTTGGAATTGTTAACCTCCTGTGACCTATATTGTATGTATGCAGTCTCTTGTTGAAGGAGTGGCAGATTATTTCTCAATTGTCATAGCAGTGAGAAATTTGAAATAAGTTCATTTGCTTTTGGTTGCACATGACTTAAAGAGCTGTTAATGCAATGATAATTTCCTGGTATACTTATTTCCACAATTCCTGTCCAAATCTTACCAGCATGGTTCTAATCAGCTGCTGAATTAATTCTAATCACTTAGCTGCTGAATTTTTTTAAAAATACAAATCAGTATTTTTAACTTTGTATTGTTCGTTCATGCACTTTTCAGAGCTTCAATTCTCTGAAGTCAACAATAATAAATTAATCTGAAGTCAATGAAAATTTAGCATGATAAACATATATTTAATATATTGTGCAATCAATTATGGTTTTATACAACATACATATTTAGTTAAAATGAATAAAATATTTAGTATTTTTCCTTTCCTTTTTATTTTCTGGTAATTTTGGAGGCAGAAACATTTTGAGTCGATTTTTTTAAAACTAAATTTTACATTAGATTTTTATTTGGTCAGCCACTTATCTGGAGTGTTTTCTATAAATGAAAAATCCAGGTTATCAGTAACTGCTGAAAATAACAGGATAATCGCTTAAGCAGTGATTCTCTGATGTCATTGTGGGAGGTTAGTAAAAGAGGATTATCCATGACCCAGATAAAATAATTAGAAATCACTTGGACACTTACAAATGAATGATTTACTGTACTAATCTCATTTCCAAAGTTAGAAAAGATCTGTCTCTCAATATAATACTGCCAGATGTTTTTAGTTGAAATGCATCTTTTGAAGAGACTAATCTGAAGCCTAATTTTGAGGATTATCTTTGATTATTTTTATTTAAAATCTTAAAACAGGATCTGTTTTTATTTTCCATATGTTATTGTAAATGATTAACAGAGTTAACAGTTTTTTTTAAAAGAATGATAGTCTGGAGCTCATTGTATTTCAGATATAGATTGTGATATCTGTTTTAGTGTTGTTTTGAGGTTCCTTCAAGTTAGTCTTTTGGAATTTTTGAATGGTTCAACCAAAGCAAATTGATTACTTTACACATTTTTTATTAAAATAATGGTGAATTGTACAAGTGTTCTATCCAATGCTATACTTTCAATGAAGAAGAGTAGATTTGCATATGGGGCATTTGCAGGTTCTGTGGTTATGAATGAATCCAATCTCACTCTTATCCTTGGAAAAAGGAAAATAATATTTTATTACTTGACACCAGCCATTTTACAGCTGAATTTCGACAAGGCAAATTTGAAGTATGGGCTGGGGAGGGGTTGCATTTGCAGCCCACAGGTGGCCAATCTCTGAATGGTTACAATTATATGTAATTTGTACTGTGATTACACTCTGGCTATAATTTTTTAGATATCTTAAAAATAAATACAATTCATGCTCTATGAGGCTATCAGCGAACCTCATTCATGCTCTATTAATCTTCTAAGAACAAGGTAGAGGAGGCTTCTGGGAGGCGAACTATTTTAGCCTTCATGTCTAAATAGGCTTCCAGGAAACTATTTTGTCACTGCATGGTAGCAGCATGTTTCCCTCCGGTTTAGGGAGAGAAGGATTGGACAGATCTCAAGTGATTTGGGAGGAGCCCCAGAGGTCTTCCATTTCCATTTCCCCTCTTAAACTCAACCTCTCTAGGCCCAAATTGGGCTGAATAAGTGAGCTTTCCAGCTGATAAGGAGCAAACTAGCCTAGGCCAATAAAACATCCCCCCCTGTACCAGGAGTTCTACAGTTTTCTCATATTGGAAAATTTAGTCTACCCTTGCACCTTGAATTGGTTGATTGATTATTTTTATCTGCTGCAATTGAGAGACTCATCAAGTGATAGTCATGACATTAAAAAGCCATTGTACAGTTCGTTAAGTAAGCAATCAAAAAAAGCCGTAAGTATAGAATAGCCATCATAGAAATAAAGGAAAGACAAAGGGGGGTCATTTAAGAATGAAAGACCTCTTAATTCAGGGCTGTCAAACTCCTGGCCTGTGGACCGGATGCATCACGCTCTGGCTATGCCCACGCTCAGTTTAGCAAAGGGGGGTGGAGTCCTGATACGTCACAAGACGCCACCGTGACAACATGAGTTTGACACCCCTGTCTTAATTCTATTTCATCTAATTTTCTGAAGCCTAATAAAGTAGGAACTGATTGAATTTCAAAGGGCAAATAATTCCCTAAAATTGGCTCTGCAACAGAAAGACATTGTTGGGACCTCATCCTCCTTTCCTACAGCTTCTCCTGCACATGAGATGTGTTAAAATTGGTCAGGGAAGCAGATCCTAGAAGGATATTTCTGCCTGTGTGTGTTATAAATTGGAAACTGTTGGTAACATTTTCAGATGTCTTATTAATTTTTTTTTTACCAGCAGATACTACAGATGTTTAGCACTCTTTGTTATTTCATATAAGCTATTTTTATGAGTTATTTAAGATGCCACTGAGCTATGGGGCCTCCAGCTGTGATCTCCTCAGATGTACTGAGCTAAGTAGGGTCATTCCCGGTCAGTAGCTAGATGTACAGCTATGGGAGAAAGCTTAAACACTACCGGAAATGTTGGCAATTCAGAAAGCGAAACATTTCTTCTGAAGTGTTATTGAATTAATCAATGCCCCGATAAGGCCTGCTGTTGCTTCCCGAGGTCAGGTCAGGTCAGGGTGGCAAATGTATGTATTTTCCCCTTTTTACAAGAACAGTTTTTACATCTAGATCTAGTCTGAAGGCAATTTTGCAATAATGTTGTTTTCTTACTATGTAAATGAATTTTTGTACAATTCTGAAGAATTGTAGTGTTTCCTAAAATTCTTATTTTTTTAATTGATTCACTTTATGTCATGTTCTGCGTATAGGTTATGTCATACATCTCAAAAAATATTCTTTTCTTAAATATCTAGACAACTTTGGCATGAGCAGATTTTTATTATTATTACTACTACTACCGGTACTACTACTACTATTATTATTACTATTACTATTACTATTATTTTGAGAATTTTTCCTTGCCATTCATACTTTTCATATTCATTCTAGAATTTTCACAATCCAGTATAGCTTTTGTATTTTGATGTTTGTGAGATGTTCTCTGGGGGAATTTGGATGTTAAATATTTGATATTAAAAACTTTGACTTCAACGTAGATATCTTCAAGATATTTATGTTTCTTATACAGAAATTAGAATGTGTCTGTGTTTGAACTGTAAGCCTAATAAAAGATGCCTTGTGATTACGTTTCTTGTAATTATGTGAACATAACCGAGCAGTTTACTTGGCATTTTGAGAGAAGTGCTTTGCCATTTCCTTAATCTGAGGCGTGCATGTCTTTTAATTTGCTAGTCTAGATTATAATCATACTAGTTCCCATTCAAATACAAAGTAATCCTATCCTGCTTAATTTCCAAGTTAAGTCAACCAGATGGCCATGGTTAACTTTTGTAAAAAATCCAGATAATGAAAATTCTTGAAATAGGAAACAGAGGATACAACCTTGGTATTAATACTATATAAATATAGTTATAACACTCTGTATAAATGAATATTTATACTGAAATAGAGTTAAAGAATATTTGCACTGTCTGCTTAAATTTTGTTTCTTTAAATACCTGCACATAAACGTGAAAATAAAGTAAGAATGGTAAAATGTAAGTTTATTCATATTCAGCCTTTTTTGGATTTTTTTTACTTTGACATTTTTTGCATTGTTTTTAATTTATTTTGCTTTTTGCCTTCAGGTTATTTGAATTTAAAGTATTATTTGAAAGAAATCTAATACAGTAACTTTGGTGACTTTGTATGCCAAACCTCTACCAAATCCCAGTTCAAAATGAATGTCAGATTTCCTTCTGCTTGGTAGGATATTTTGAATGAACCTTGACTTGGGAGAGGTCATCTGACAGCCCAGTCATTCCCTAAGATCCAAAGACAAATGTCTCATTTCCTTGATGTGGCTGTATTGCTCAAGTTGAGGGTGCTGAACTGCATTCTTTCATTTTGGAGAGATTTTTTTAAAGTTAATTTAATTGTCCAGTTTAAATAGTTCAATGAAGACAGGATGAGGCTAAAAGGGTTTGCTCTTATTTCAGTTTGACCAAGGTCTGAGTGACAACCCCACAAAAGGCCTACATACTATACTACTATGCAATTTGGTTTTTAAAAAAATATGGAATTGCTTTTTAATTCAAAGTTTAAATTAAGGATATGCTTTAATTTCAGAAAATACCTAAATTATTTCAGTCAGCAGCTCACTATTCTTAATATAATATTTAGTAAGTGGCACACTAGTTTGATCAAGTATAACAAATGAAAGAAATTGTTTTGGCTACAGCTCTAAAGATCCCTTATATTCAGACATTTGAAACACCGCATTTCATCATCTGACCAAGTAAGAAACACTGAAAGAAGAAAGCATCGGTATTTCTCTTGGGTAATAACATTACAGTGAAACTCTAGAAAGTTTGTTATCTATATATTTTTTGTCTGTATGTGCATAGAGAAATACACATAGAGAAATAGAATACCTCATTCTCAGAGATATGTCAAAAAAATTGTTTTGTTTTTGTAAGCATTCTACATACGTGCTACTTGTATATATTTTTGAAAAATAATGTTTTTTGTATTTTCATGATAGGAAGAAATATTTAAGATGGTGTTTTTTTCCCCTTAAAATAGGACATTACAAGTATAGAAAAACTGGCCAACTGTTGTGAAGAAATGTGAGTATCATTTTGTTTTTTTACAGTCTTTATAGAGCTTGGCAATAAAGTGCATGTGTGAGAAACACTTCGGGCATTAATGAAAGCTTAGCTTACCTTTTTCAGAATGATTCACACAGTGCTATAATTTAAAAAAAGTTCTATCTGATATGATCAAAACAATGCTTTCAAAGCATGGTCCAAAAAAGGGGATTTGTTTTGTTTTGCTCTCTTTTGTTGGCAAACAGTGTTGATTAGGAGGAACATCTTAGTTCTGTAAGTGCAAATGCAGTTTGGGTTTCTTAAAGTCTCAGCTGCTGCTGAACTGAAAGAAAAGCTTTGCTTAATGGCGGCTCAAATGTAATTCATCAGAGTCAAGTAATGGATCCCCAGCCAACCTGTATTGTTCTAGTTGACTGAAGTGCACCATGGGAGTGCTGTCTTTCACTAATAATGCTGTCGTCTGTAGATCGAGACCTCGAAAGCCATGGCAGCAGACCTTCTCAGAAGTTTTTGGCACTCGCTGGAAGATCCTGTGGTTTATTCCTTTCAGGCAAAGGCGACCACTGCGCATTCCCTACCACTTTGCCAATCACGTCTAAACAGATGGATGGTAGGCACAGATGGGTTCTCCATGCTGGATGTGTGTTGCAGGTTTTGTGATAATAGAACTATGGCGCTCCTAAAGTCAATTAAAATCTACCCACCAATCTTAGACGTCACAACGTGCCCCAGGCTTTATTTTAATAATGAAGATCTTTATTCTGCTTAGGGATTAAGGCACACTTCTCTATTTATGTTTAAAGTGTACTTACATTCAGATTAGCATTGCAGAGAAATCACTGCAGGTTCATAATAAAAACAATGATTGATGTACAAATATTACTTTTCTTTTGATACTGGATAATTGATTTTGCTAGAAATGCTGTCATTTACACAGATCAACAGGTTTGGAAGGATCTTGACTTCTTATTCTTTTTTTTTTTTTTAATCAGTCATACTAGCTGGATTATAAGAAAATCTCTGTTTTCCTATTCATCAGTTTTAATGCCTCCAATGCCTTTTTATTTATGATGCATGATATTAAAATGCAGCTTATCTCTAGAGAAGACTGGCATTTTAACAGTGGATTTTTAAAAGGAAGAATGATGTTTGTTCCTCATGTTTTAAAAAAATTGTTATGTAAAAACAAGACATAAAATCCATTGCTGTTTTGAAAGAAAAATAGGTTATAAAATGTGCAATTTTCTCTTCTTTGTACCTGCAATAATTAGCCTTAAGTGCTAGATGTGTCTTAGAAGTATATACAGAGTTCAAAAAACAAAGCTTATGCCATGATCCAGCCAAAGTTAAGCACCTTTTAAATCCTACTTATATTAGTGATACATTTAGTATTATTTTCATTCACTCCCCAAAGAACAGACAAGCTGCTGTGTGGCAAATGGAATACTGGCAGATACGTTTTTCTGGGTTTAAGCTGCAGTCCTACACACTTACCTATAGGTGATTTATTTTGAAAAGATATGCATAGGATTCTACTAAGTGCCTAATTTTGGTGCGATTGTGCCTACAAAATATATCAACATTTACAATATCATATCTACTGAAAACATATACAATACTGTGTTGTTTCTATGTACTATGTTTCTTGTTTTGTACTGTCACCACTAGAAGTATTTAAAATTTTAAATTTCATGTGTTCATAGATCAGGTAATATATGTTGGAGATATTTTAACAATAGTATTTATACACTAAATATGGATGTTACATTTAGCATTATCTACTCTGTATTACATTCTAAATAGATGATATGAAGGGAAGCAGGCATGCCTGTAAAGCGACATTATGATTGGTAAAAAATGGTAATTTGAGTTGTAGATAAATCAGACTTTTGGCTATTTTTAAGTAGTAAAATTTTAGGAAGATCATTCTTTTAAAAGGAATGTTTGGTGATCCGAGGCTTATATAGAAACAAAATTAGTGATCTAGTTTTGAAAACTCTAAAAACCATCAATTTATGCAGTTAAGAAGTATGGGGTTATTTATGGAAGTGGCGTTGAATTTCTGGATAAAGGGCAGGATATTCTTCTAATAAATAAATAAATAAATAGACCTAACTGTGGGAGGACATGTTGGCTCAAATCCAGGCTTACAACAGGCATGCTGTACCTATGTGCATTGTTGAGAATGGATTTTTTCATTCACTTGGCCTTATCCTATCCTTCTCCACTTATGCTTGCCAAATAAGTCAAGAAGTGAAAGATAACTTCAGTCTTTGCATCTGTACTGTACTTTCGAGCCTTCATGCTTAAAAGAGCTGCAAGCCAACCATATCTAACTGTAAGGCCCATGGTTACAGGTAGTCCTCAACTTACGACCACATTTGAGCTCAAAATTTATGTTGCCAAGTGAGAAATTTGCTAAGGGACTTTTGCCCCATTTTACGACTTTTCTTGGCACATTTGTTAAGTGAATCACTGCAGCTATTAAGTTAGCCATGCGGTTGTTAAGTGAATCTGGCTTCCCCATTGACTTGGCTTGTCAGAAGGTTGCAAAAGGGAATCACTTGACGCTGGACCCTGGCAACAGTCATAAATATGAACCAGTTGCCAAGCATTCAAATGTGAAATAAATGAGCATGGGGAGGCTGCAGCAGTCATAAGTGTGAAAAAGGATCATGTCACTTTTTTCAGTACTATTGTAAGTACAAACTGTCGCTAAATGAATTATTGTAAGTCAAGGACTACCTGTATTTGGGGGGAAGATACATACTGGCTAGTGAGGCAGCCCCAGGAACAGATGCAGCTTCTTTTGAGTTGCTAGGGAGTGCGTGCAGGTATGCTTCAAATCACCTTTTCCCTACAGATCTGGACTGGTGTACAGTTGTGTTTTAGAGCATCAGTATCAGTTTAGGAGTAAGGGCACACAGAATAAATACTGATGACAGATTTTACTTCAGTTGATATACAAAAACAACAAATTACGCTAAACCATTTCTGACAGATGTTTACACTGATTATACATGCATCTGTTAATAAAACATGCTGTTCACTTGTTTCGAAGAGCTTTCATATTCTCTTTCCTTATGTCTACTTTCCATTCATTCTGATCGGAGATTATCCTGTCTTCTAACACTTTTTCATAAAAGATAACTATGTCATCTTTCGGAAATTGGCTAAGTTTTATTTCTTTCATTTTTCTTTTCTGTCATGGGCATTTTCTTCTGAAGATCCATTCTTGACAGCTCCCAAAATGGTTTGTTCCACACTCAGAGCCTCTCTTACCATGCCTCTATCCCCTTCAAACTTTCATCATAAACAATCAAGTCAATCAGGCTTTTAAATTTATGTGTTTGCCATATGAACAAATGAAAAAAATACAACTTTTTCTAAGCAGATACTTACCAGATATTCACCATTCTCATTCGTGTTGGGTGTCTAAATAGTCCAGCTCTTTTCTATATTTTCTTCTACTTCATTCAAATGACCTAGTAGACCAATGTTTTTCCCTGGATTGCATTCATTCATTCATTATATTTCACATTTTTCATAAATCTCCTTCCTGCTTCTTCCACCATTTACATACATTGGAGCATAAATGGGCAACTATCACCAATTTACAGATTCATACTTTTGTATGCACCCATAAACAATCAAATAATACCAGTTCATATTTTCTGACATATATTTTGGTCCATTCATTATTGGAACTACGTCTTTATTTTTATTTTTATTTAACACATTATTTAACTCAACAATTATAAACCTCCGACATTCCCATCTATTACCTCTTCAGTGTTTCACAGACATACAACATATTTATTTTCCTTTCTTACATTTCACTTGTTACTCCATGCATTTGGGCCTTTATTTCTTTAATGCTCCACATTATGCTCTTCATCTTCTATTTGTCAAGATTGTTCCCCGATGGGCCTAATAGGTAAGAACCCTTTGTGGTCCATCTTAGCTTCGCTTAGCTATTCTTTCACCTATCACCTTTTAGTAAGAGAAGGTGAAGACCAAGGGTCTTCAAACTTGGCAAGTTTAAGATTTGTGGAATTCAACTCCCAGAATTCCTGAGCTAACATTACTGGAGGAGGAATTCTGGAAGTTGAAGCCCACAAGTCTTAAAGCTGTCTAGTTTGAAGACCCCTGGTATAGACTATCTTATTAGCTGTAGTGTACCTATGCCACATGCAGCATTTCCTGCTTATGGAGAGTACAGTACCGGTCATTACCAGCATGACCTAAGCCCAACCAAAGTATTGTCAATGTATTCTGTGCAAGTTTCAATCTCTAATATAGAAACTTCCTTGGAACCAAGTTGTCAGATAGGAGTCATATATTATGTAGTGAGACATAGTGAGGATGTTATTAACTATAATAGCTGTGAAATATGTTTATTACTAAATAATTCACAGATGGAACATGAATTTCACCATTAATCTGACACCCATCTCTTCTTATAAATACTGTGCGTGTTGGCAATTTTTATTACATTACTGGTATAATTATTTTGATGAAACTATTACAGCTAGTTTGGTCTAGGCAACCAGTTTTGTCAGGAGATTGTGAGTTCTAGTCCTGCCTTAGGCACAAAAGCTGCCTGAGTGAACTTGGGCCAATCTCTCTCATCTCATGGGTTGTTACAGGGAGAATACAGTAGGACGAGGAAGGAATATTAGGTATGTTCCTTGAATTATTTATAAAAATAATTGGGAAATAAATAAATACCACTGTATGTTTTGCATAAACTTTGCAGTAGCCCTTGGTAATTCCACCTTGAGAACTTTGGCACATAATAGGATATTGACCAAGCTTAAATAATTTACAGATAGATCCTTTCAAATTCATTCCAAAATAAGATGACTGCGTTGTCCCCCAGATGTCTTAAAAGTCACTCAGATATCTGGATCCATTTACAGGTTTTTGGTTTAATGACTCTTGAATGCATTCTTTTATGAACTGTTTCTGCAACACCAATAAATTTTAAATCAGAAAAGCTAGTCTCTGGAGAATGTTTATTGGTAAAATTTATCTCAAAATTAAAATTGAGAATAGAGAAAGCATTGAAAGCTAAGCTTATATTAAACAGACTATTAGTACTCTCTCATACATTCCATACTGTATTGCTGTTTTAAATGTGGCAAAAAGTGTTATGAATATGTCTTTTCCAAAATCTAAAATTAATGCTATCTAGAATATGCTTACATAAAGCTTTGTCCCATATTGTTTGTATAGTACTTGAGATATCTACCCTTATTTTGTTCCTGAAGTGCCCTCTCTTGGTTGATTTGTGCAATTTCATTACCATTAAGAAAAGTAGGTAGTTGTATGCTTTATTTTTTTATACACGGACAATGAATTTATAGGAGAAAAGAGTCATTAGATCATGTTGCGTGAGCGATGCAGCAAGATTATACACCAGATTCTTTCCATGAAGGAAAAGAAAAGATAATACAATCAGATTCTGTACTTCTCTTGATCTGCCAGTTAATAATGTTAGCTGCTTGACTGGTCAGTGCTCATATTAAAATGGATCATAAAAAATAATTATGTTCCTGTCTGCAAAAAAAAATCCACAAACCAAGGTGTGTCAGGGAAATAGATTTTTGTGCCTGTTATGGATAAAAAGTTCGGTAAAATGTTTTCATTCTAAACATTCTCCATATTCTTTGAAATATTGACTGTCATATAATATTTTTGGTTTAAAGAGAGTGTCAAGAATATTGCCTTTTTTTAATATCGATAGTCCTGTGGATTTTCATAAACATTAAAACTCAGATTTAGGAAAATGTTTTCCTGTGTATATAAAAGATAATGTTAGGATAATAAATTGAGAGATTAGTTGGGACTAAATATGTTTTAATATGAGTAGAAGCTGCTTAATTTTCTTTCTTATTTTGCATCTGTTATGTTTGTTCATAATCTCTTGATTTTGGTGCATGGATTTAAACAAGTGTTCAGAGTACATATTGTTCA